GGATATGTGCCAACGTCTCTTTTGAAAACACCACATCCCATCACCAAAACAACAACAACAAAGTAAATACTAGGGTAGCATTTTTCAATGTGTGCTCCACACATTATTGCAGGATATTAATAGGTGTTACTTGATTTAAATTTTTTCTTGCTGTGATTAGATACATTTGAAAAACACTGATTTTTTTTTTTTTTTTACACCGGTTCCTTTATTGCAGGACTTCTTGGAGGATTTAATATGCTGATGTACATCATATATCTTTCTAAGAGAGATAGAAAGTGCACTATTTCCCAAAATTATTTGACCACAGAACTCCTTTTACATAGAACATCTCCCAGGAAGAGTATCCACAAAGTTTATAGGTTGGGATACCCCTAGAAAGCAAGTAGAATCTTATGAGAAAAGCCATCCAGATTAAATTTACCTTATTTTGCAAGTTTTAGCATCATTTCTCTCCACAACCTCCCCTGATTCTGCATGGCTTAGAAGTCTTAACATGAGAATAGTTCCCCTGGGTGGTGATTTTAGGATCAAGGTCTCAGATGCAGCCATAAAGCCCCTGGCAGGGAAAGAGTTGCAACTTCAAGGCTCTAAGCATTGAAAAGATGGTGTTTCTCATATATAATTCCAAATAAAAATAATACTAACCTGTGAAACAAATGAAAAAGAGCCCAACAAAGTTTGGATTTCCCCCATCAAACTCTGGAAATACTTGGAAGGGCGGGGCTTTATGGTGGGCCAAGCAGCTACCTAGTCTGCTCATTGGGTGGCCCAGCACTGCCCTGGAGAGACGCCCTCCCGCCTGGGAGAAGGGAGATCCTAAGGATCCTCTTACTGGTCTACCCTTGTACAAATGGACTTAATTCAATCTCTTTCCCATCTGTGAAAGGAGACTCAGGAAGGTGAAGTGGTAGAAAGCTTGTAACAGGAAGGGAGCTAGAGATATCAGCCCACTGACAGGCCTGGGGCAACAGGGAATTGGTCCTAGTTCAGCTAAGTGGATAGTGGATTGTGTATTGGATGGTTTTGCCTTGGGCCTTCTTTTTTTGTCTTTTTTAAAATTTTTTCGGTCTTTTTTTTAGTCTTTTGGTCTGAATAACTATCATGGATTCTACACTTAAGGTCTCTGTGGGGCTATGTTTGCATTTACATGAAGTCTTTAATGTAAATCTTTGATAAGCAAGAACAGACATAATCTCTTTCATATAAGAACTCCTCCATTCCCACCCCCCCCTCCCAGACTGTGAGCACCTCGAGGGCAGATTGCTAGATCCTGAGCACTTATGGTATATTAACGAATATATGTGGAATCTAGAAAAATGGTACAGATGAACTGGTTTGCAAGGCAGAAATAGAGACACAGATGTAGAGAACAAACGTATGGATGCCAAGGGGGGAAAGCAGGGGTGTGGGGTGGTGGTGGGATGAATTGGGAGATTGGGACTGACATATATACACTAATATGTATAAAATAGATAACTAATAAGAACCTGCTGTATAAAAAAATAAAATAAAATTCAAAAAAAAATAGTGATGGTTTCTCTTTTTCCTCATCTTCTTGACCTAAAATGAGGTCTGCCTAGAGAAAAGGAGATTAAATGGTCTCAGATTTTCAAAGCCAATGAATATTGTTTCTTATTTCTTCTCTGAAAGCCTTCATTATAGTCACTAATTGAACAAATATTCATTGCACATGAATTATATACCAGGTACTCTGCTAATTGCAAAGGTAACAACCATAAATAAGACATAGTTTCTGCCCCCAAAGTCTATGTATAGAACTGGGAAGGCAGATCTTAAACAAGAAATTTAAAATAAGTGAGAAGTGTCAAGATAGATGTATCGGGACTTCCCTGGTGGCACAGTGGTTAAGAATCCGCCTGCCAATGCAGGGGGCACGTGTTCAAGCCCTGGTCCGGGAAGATCTCACATGCCATGGAGCAACTAAGCCCGTGCGCCACAACTACTGAGCCTGTGCTCTAGAGCCTGTGAGCCACAACTACTGAGCCCGTGTGCCACAACTACTGAAGCCTGTGCGCCTAGAGCCCGCGCTCCGCAACAAAAGACGCCACTGCAATGAGAAGCCCACGCACCGCAACAAAGAGTAGCCCCCGCTCACCGTAACTAGAGAAAGCCCGTGTGCAGCAATGAAGACCCAAAGCAGCCAAAAAATAAATTAAAAAAAAAAAACAACTCACTTACTTAACAACAACAACAACAAAAAAAGATAGATGTATCAATAGTATGGAGCCTGAGGAGAAATAGATTGGTGGGTGGGTGGGTTTTTTTTTAACCTAATGTAGCAATCAGAGAACGGCTTCTTTTTTTTTTTTTTAATATATTTATTTATTTATTTAATTTTTGGCTGTGTTGGGTCTTCGTTGCTGCGTGCAGGCTTTCTCTACCTGCGGCGATCGGGGGCTACTCTTTGTTGCAGTGCGCGGGCTTCTCATTGCGGTGGCTTCTCTTGTTGCAGAGCATGGGCTCTAGGTGCGTGGGCTTCAGTAGTTGTGGCACATGGGATTAGTTGCTCCACAGCCTGTGGGATCTTCCCAGACCAGGGCTCGAACCCGTGTCCCCTGCATTGGCAGGAGGATTCTTAACCACTGTGCCACCAGGGAAGTCCCAGAGAAGGCTTTCTTGAGAAAAGTGATATGTAAGCTTATAACTGGAAGGATGAATTGAAGACAGAGTGAAGCAATATGCCGGGTAGAGAGAAGAACATGTTCAAAGATGAGAGGGAAGAGACATAAGAGGAACTTAAAGGCCAGGATGGCCAGGTATCAAAAGGAATATAACAGAAGATGAGTCTAGGGAGGTAGTGAAGAATCAGATGCCAGGCCAAGGAGAAATTTGGACTTTTTCTAAAACACAAGAGGAGCCATTGAATGATTCCAAGCAAAAGAATTAATTACATGATGAGATTTAGATTGTTTAATATAGAATAACATTCTTTCTAGACCTATCTTCTACTTGGACCTAAGTACACCCTTGCCCTGAATTAGGTTCTTAGGAAGGCTTCTGTTCCCATTCATTGCTGGATTTTAAGTAGAAAAATGACACCTGGCTCCACTGCCAGGTCTTGCAAGCCATAAGATACAAAAAGAAATTTCCAGCAAGGAAGTCTTCTTCCCCAGATGACTGTGAGAGAGGTAAGTGATGGATCTTTACTACCTGTTTGCATTTCTCTATTTTCTGACTCTCATTTGGCCAGAAAAAAAGGCATGAGAATTCTCTCCTAATTGTCCCTTTCCTTTCCTCCTACCATCGCTATAGATTTTCAAGTGGTATTGGGCAACCATACAACCCTGTGAAAAGTTGCTCAACAGCATCAAGGGACATTCTGCTCCTTCTTTCCATCTTTCAAAACAACTCTGGCTTTGTCATAAGCCGTACTTTTTATGGCAATTATAGTTGTTGATGACACTTCCACCGGCAACAAAACCTATTTTAGCTTTTCTGAACCATTCCAAATGTTTTAGAATTTAACTGATCAGATCTTAAACCAAGTTCTCATCTGTTCTCAGAACAGGTTGAAGGCGTTTCACACAGACCGCAGTCCAATAGTATCAATTCATCTCAAAGAAGCATAGCAGAGAGACAGTGTCCTCAGCCATGCAAGATGTCTGATTCAATGTGCTTTCAATCCTGCAGAGCTTGTGGCAACAATTTCTTTGTTGTTCTTGGCAATTTAAGTTACCCTTTGTGAAATCAGTAGTGTTGGTAGGCCACGCTGCTAATTATTTGGAGTGCCTGGTCAGGCTTCCAGAGGCCAAGATCAGCTAGTTCTCTAATCTGTCTCCAGCCCTCCCTAAGCCTGAGCTCTTCAGGCTTCTATGATCCTTTCTCACTGCACCATGTTATTTCATGCTCAGCTTTTTTTTTTTTTTTTTTTTTGCGGTACGCGGGCTCCGGACACGCAGGCTTAGCGGCCATGGCTCACGGGCCCAGTCGCTCTGCGGCATGTGGGATCTTCCCGGACCGGGGCACGAATCCATGTCCCCTGCATCGGCAGGCAGACTCTCAACCACTGCACCACCAGGGAAGCCCTCATGCTCAGCTTTTAATCAAGATCCAAAGAGCCAAACATGATATAGGCTTTGCTAGTTGAACAAAAGGCAAAGAAAATATCACACTTGGAATTGTATGTATCTTGCTATTGAGGGCAAATTCTGTGATGATTCTCTGCAGGGTAGAGAGTAACAGATTTTTTTTTTTTTTTTTTTGGCCTTTTTAGTTAACAAGAGTCACAGACACAGATGCTGAACAGGGTCAGATAAATGAATTCAGTAGGCCAGGTGGAGACTGTAGTAAGTGGGGAGTGTGTGCCCCACCTAAGGAGAGGAGCACTACTTCATTCCAACAGACTGTTGCCAGAAAGGCCCAGTGAAGCAAAATCTTCTGATTTTCTAAGAGAAGCCAGAAATATGAGCTTTAATGTGAAAGCCCCTCAAGTTTTACATGTTCACCACTATTTCAAAAAATTGTTTAATATGTAGGAATCAAAACAAAAAGTGTTTGTGACCAGATTTGACCCATAGGCCACCAGTTTGGCTTCATGTCCTTTGCAGATTCATCAGGTTGTCACCTGTACTCATTCAAGTCATGGGCAAAATTTTGACCAGGACAGAGCCTGGTAGAGTCTTCCCTCTGGATTCACATGTATCCAATCAATCAGAACCGTTTGGTGTGGTGGAGTCCCTCCATTCTCACCCAGCTTATATTTCTCCACCTAATTTGAAAGGCTGTTATAAAAGAGATTTGGCTGAAATCCTGTGGCTACAGCATTTCTCTATCCTATGTTCTAGCAGCCTTAATCTTAAAGAATTACCCAAACTAAAAAAGAAAAAAAGGGCTTCCCTGGTGGCGCAGTGGTTGAGAGTCCACCTGCCGATGCAGGGGACACGGGTTTGTGCCCTGGTCCGGGAGGATCCCACATACCGCGGAGTGGCTGGGCCCGTGGGCCATGGCCGCTGAGCCTGCGCATCCGGAGCCTGTGCTCCGCAACGGGAGAGGCCACAACAGTGAGAGGCCCGCGTACTGCAAAAAAAAAAAAATTATCCAACAAGTTAGTGGCTGAGCTGAAACAGTGTGGTCTCTGCTATCCCAAATCTCCCAATCTATTTGGAGACATGAGAACACACACCTGAAACACAGTCAAGAGGACTGGGCTCTTCTCTTCTCCAACAGTAGAGAGAAAATGGGATAAGACAAGGGAGGGCCTTAGAGGGACCCATCCATGATCCAAACTTAATAACAGAACTGCAGGTAGGTAAAAACCTCTTTGGCTGAATCTACTTTGACCATGTCATGTGCTTTCCTGTGACTTTTCCCTTCTGCAAATTGGAGGAAATGAAATTTTCTTTAAGTGTGGGCTGTTAGTCATTTGAAACAGTTTTCCTCAGTGTCTGTGGAACCTCCTTCTTACAAAAGGTTGTTATAGTTGGCACAGACTGGCTGTAAGGAAGATCTGGCAGGAGATCTGGGCCAGATGGTAATTATAGTCCCTATAGCCATAATTCTTTAGCAATGAGGACCAAGAAGGAAGGCATTTGTTTCAAGTATCCATGACGAGGAAAATTTCATACTTAAGTGTTGCTTGGTCCCAGGTCAAAGAGGTTCCAGCCACATCTCCCCAACTTATGCCTGTGTCGTGCTTTCACATCACTTGTGTGTAGCTTAAGAAGTGAGGAAAGGGACTTCCCTGGCAGTCCAGTGGTTGGGACTCCACCTTCCAGTGTGTGGGGGTGAGGGTTGGATGCCTGGTTGGGGAGCTGGGAGCCTCAGGGTCAAGGAACCAAGGCATAGAACAGGAGCAATATTGTGACAAATTCAATAAAGACTTTGAAGATGGTCTACAACAAAAAAAATCTTTTTTAAAAAAAAAAGGGCAGAAAAGAGAATTCAAAAATGGCCACCACTACAGTTTTAAGACACTTCTTAGGAATCCTTTGTTCTCTCGAGTGAAATAATTTTTTACTATATGACTAAAGAACTAACCATTATTAAATCTGTACATACTCAGAGCTTCAGACAGTTTAGCCTAGAGCAGTGCTCAAAAGCTTCTCTGCCCATCTTGAGTTCCAGCCTCCTGTGATGCCATAACTCTAATATCACAACTGACCTCCTGTCCTCATCCTTGTTTCTAAAATCTGAACAAAGAACCCTGAGCTCGGCTTTAGGTGGGAGACATGGGGTGTCTCCCTGACTATGAAAGTATGGGAGACCCTGAGATGAGTCTACAGGGAAGATACTGGGAAATCTTGATCCTTGCAGGGCTTTCAGCAAAGAATTAACACCGATCTGTTAGGTACAGAAACTGAGGAAGATGTGACCCCAAACAAACCTGACCCAGACCTTGGAAGGGTTTCAGTTGTTTCGAGTGTTAACAAGAAGCCACTAGGAAGAGAGTTGCCACAGAGAGGGAAAAGTGGAGAGTACTTGTTTTAAGCCTCAAATGTCCAAATGACCTTCCAGGACCCAGTGGGACACTACCTCCTGGGTGCTGCGTGGTCCATCAGCTTCATGTGTGAGCTCTGAAAAGTCTCTTCCATTCAGCCCAATTTCTCCCCTTTGTCACCAGCTTCTTCTTTAGGTCCAGGCCTCAGAGGAAAAATAAATCACATTTTCATCCTATTCACCTTTGCTTCCCAAGCATGTCCATGAGAGCTGTCTTAGTCTGTCTGGACTGCTATAACAAAAATACCATAGACTGGGTGGCTTAAACAACAAACATTTATTTCTCACAGTTCTAGAGGCTGGAAGTCCAAGATTCAGTGTCTGGTGAGAGCTCTCTTCCTGGTTCATAGACACCAGCTTCTTTCTTGCTGTGCCCTCACATGGTGGAAAGGGCAAGAGAGCTCTGCAGTCCCTTTTATAAGGACACTAATCCCATTCATGAGGGCTCCATCCTCAAGACCTAATCACCTCCCAAAGGCCCAGCCTCCTAATATCATCACATTGGGGGTCAGGATTTAAACATATGAATTTGAGGAAGACACAAGCATTCAGACCAGAATCAGAGCTGTGAGAGTTCTTCCCTACATCAAACTGGATTCTGATGGACTGAGTATTATTCTCCATAATCCTGGTCTCAGTCCTGAAGTAATCTTAAAGAGTTACCTTACCATCTTATACATCCCTTAACTCCTGGAAAAATCAGTTTAGCCATGACAAGATGATGGTTATCTAGCTTTTTAAAGACACAGTGTTTTTCATAAGCAATTTATTGAACAACTATCTGTACAAGCATGTTCATAGTTTATAATAAGAAATTTAGTAACAGCCTAAATATCCATTAGTAGGATAATGTGTTGTTCCTGGAAGAGCTTCTGTATCATTTAGATTTTTGAGAATGAAAATGCTTTCATATTACTTGTGTCAAGTCATTGCTGTAGCCTTCTAAGTGGTCCCCTACCTTTGTTCTCGCCCTTTGTAATCATTCTCACTGCTTCATCAGTGATCTATTAAAATGCAAATGTGACTGTGGAACTCCTGGGCTTAAACATTTCTTACGGTTTGTGCCTCTTTGTCTACCCATCACGTGCCGAGCTCCTCAGTGTAAGAGCCCTCATGATCTGTCCCTGCTCTCCTCTGTAGCCTCGGCTCCTGTGCCTGTGCTCTGCTTTTCCTACCACACATGACTTGTCGCCATCCCTGAACGCATCAGTTTCTTTCACAGCTACATGGCTTTGCACTTACTCTTGCTCTTTTTTAAAAAATAAATTTATTTATTTTATTTATTTATTTTTTTGGCTGTGTTGGGTCTTCGTTGCTGTGCATGGGCTTTCTCTAGTTGCCGCGAGCGGGTGCCACTCTTCGTTGCGGTGCGTGTGCTTCTCATTGCGGTGGCTTCTCTTGTTGCGGAGCACGGGCTCTAGGCGCGCAGACTTCAGTAGTTGTTGTGCATGGGCTTAGTTGCTCCGTGGCATGTGGGATCTTCCCGGACCAGGGGTCTAACCCATGTCTCCTGCCTTGACAGGCAGATTCTTAACCACTGTGCCACCAGGGAAGTCCCTCTGCTCTCTGCTTTTAGTACCTTCCTCCTCCTTCTCCAAAATCAAATCCTAACATAACGTCCTGCTCTACTCTCAGAAAAAGAAGCCCACCTGTTCCAACAGCCACTATGGGCTCTTAGCTCGCTCTGCACAAAGTGTCCGTGTTCACGATTCGCCTGCCCCTCTAGAGTGCGTGCTCTTGGGAGCTGAGAGGTGTGTTCATCTCATATTCCCCACTGAAGCACAGGCCCTGTTGGACGCTAAATATTGAATGAATGAAGACATTAATGAATGAACAAGTGTATGATTCTTCTAGTGCTTATATCTATTAATTCCTGGTGTTTGTTTTAGGCTATACCCAATTATTTAAATCATGTTCACATATATAAAAGTATTGGGCTGGGGAAAGAGAGGTCCCATGCAAAGTGTTCATTCTCAGCCTCAAACCCTCTGACAGATGGCCCTGCTCACAACAAGAAAGCTCATTTGTGATCCTTAGCTACCCAAAATCTTCTGTGACACTTGGAACACATCTGGGGACTTAGCTGGGATACACTATGTCTTTGGGGGGATCAGAATCATCTTAGGATTTGAGCCAAACTTAGCCTACGCCACTCATTTGGTTTTTTTGTGCCAGGACAGCACAGGTATGGGGGTCCTTTTTTTTCTTTGGCCACGCCTTGAGGCTTGCAGGATCTTAGTTCCCAGACTAGGATTGAACCCGTACCCTCAGCAGTGGAAGTGCGGAGTCCTAACCATTGGACCTCCAGGGAATTCCCTAGGGGTGTTTATTGTCTAAACCTGTTGCCAGAACAATTTTGAAGTCTGAAAGTATTCCAAACATAGTTAAAATGAATTCCCTAAGATGGCTTATTTGCATATGTGTGTGAATTTGCCTTAGGAATAATTGCTGACACTGACAAAAGCACTGACCTCTCAAAGCACCCCACGCTTGTAGTACAGCACTTATAGTGCACTTAAGGATTGGTCCTCTACAGCCTCACTGGAAAGGAAGTTCCACAGGGCAAGTAGGTTCATTTTTTCCATAATTATTGATACACAGAAAAGAATATATATAACATACATGTAAGTTATGGAGCATAGCACTATTTCTTATCTTTCTATCCCTACTGCCTAGAAAAATGCTTGGTACAATAAATGTATGTTGAATAAACAAATGATTCTTCTATGAATAAGTGAACCAGATAGAACAGCATCTCCCAGATTAAATACCCATCAGTTGTCAGATAGCTAAAGGCATTATTCCAAGGTGGACTTAACTCCCTACTATATGTATGAGAACCAAATTTTACTTTCCAGACTGATCCTCTTCCTGTCTACCGTTTGCAAGTTCGGTAGTGTGAGATCTCTATCATAGGGCTACACGGTGGAGACAACATGGCATGATTAAAAGACCACTGACTAAAGGCAGACAATTCTTTAGCCAGAGCTCTACCATTTTATAGTTGTATGACCTTGGGCAAACTATACACCATCCCTAGGAATCAGTTCTTTAACCTATTAACAGTGGGTTATTAATACTTACCTGCTGGAGTTTCAGGGAGTGTAAATGAAATAACATCTGATGTTAATTACCTTCTCACATTATTTCAGGTAAAGAAACCTGTCTAAATATTTCTAGACAGAAATCATTGACCTCTGCTATTGATGGCATACTGGAAAGTAGCTTAAAAGCTGTATTTACAGAGTTGCCATCAACCTGGGGGTTTCTGCTTCCCTCTTAAATTCATGGGCCATATCGGACTTCCTCCTTATTACCTTGCAGTTGCATCTTTCCTTGGTGGCTTTATATTGCTTTTTGCCCTTCGTGGTAGCTAAATCCTACACACGGCATCCATGGAGTTTTTGTCTTTCACATATTCCTGAGGAGTCACTTTGGTTTTCTCCCCTTGATTTAACCTTAGAGACAAATCAATAGGTAACTATGGTTCTCTCCTGAACAGTAAAAGAAAATGGAAAAAAAAAAAAAAAAAGAGAGCGAGAGAGAAAGAAAAGGGAATTTTCTGTGTGGTAATTCTCACAGTTTATGGTAGTGCCATGGCTTTGTACTTTTTTCTGATGGACACACCATAGTTCAAGCAGTTCGATTTGGTTCTGCATAAGCAGTCCCCTCTTCTGGAATAGGTTATGTATTGTGAAGTGTAATTACAAAGCCAGTCATTTAAAACTCACAATGCCAGTGCCCACAGGAATGAGGTTACCCTGGGTCACTGGGTTCTCAGGACAGTCCACAAAAGTCTATCTAACCCTGAATGTTGCTGGCCTGGAGCACAAGATGCAGCTACTCCCAATAACTCTGTACGTCCTTGGCTCTGCAAGAGGAGAGAGGGCACTCTGTGTTCCAGCCCCAGGTGCCAGGGACACAGCTCTCCCTTACTCCCTACTTGGCTGGGCCCTCAGCTAGGGGTTGGGCTGTGCCAGGGAGGGGGCTGGGGAGAAGGGCAGAAAACCCTGGGCACCAGCGCCAGAAATTTGACTCTCTTAGAACCTCATTCTAGGCCTTCAATAATAGTAATAATAATGACATTTGTATGGTGCTTTATGATTTACAAACGACATATTTTCATCCTTATATCTCACTGGTCTCATTTGGTTCTTACAAGTCTGTTGAATTTGTAATTGTTATAATTTCATTTAACAAGCAAGAAAACTGAGGTTCAGAAGTGAAAGATTTTTTCTAAGGTCAGTGGGGAAGGGTGTGAAAAAAAGACCAATTGCCAACCAAGCATGGGTGCTTTTGACTAGGTCTTCCTCCACGCCCACGTTTGTATTTCATTTATTTACAAAACACTTCATGTTTACTAGGTGCCAGGCACTGTTCTAGAGTTCTACAAATATCAGCCCACTTAATATGGCTCAGTCCTGAGTTAAGTTTTGCCTTATTTTCTTTTTTACTTTTAAACTTGTGCCTTGATCACCGTGGATTCGTCTTAGAAATGGGTGGTGACTTTAACAATGTTCCCCAGAGGCACATGTTTTAGTCAGATGGGCTTGGACTACTGTGTCAAGTGATCTCTGATTCTCATATTTCTGTTATCAGGTGAATTGTTTTCAAGAGTCACACTCTGCCACATAGTTTAAATATGACGTGAGCCTTTATATTCGCAAATCCAGCAGGCCTCTCCATCACAGCCTTTTTTACTTGAAGACAAAAGAAACTGTCTCCAACCAGAGCTAATGTCTCAGCCAATGGAATATTGCCCTTAATAAACCCTCTACTGAATATTTCATCCGAGTCTGGCAGTTCTGTGCTTCTTGGCACCTAGAGAGTATTTGACCAGCCTAAGAGGAGAGCAGCCCAGCAGCTACCAGAACAGGATCTGAAATAGACCTCTGGCTTTGAATTCTGGCTCTCCTTCTTTCTATTTTTGATCTTCGGCAAGTTATTTACCCTATCTGTGCCTCAGTTTTCTCATCTTTAAAATGGGGACAGTAATAGTGCCAACCTCACAGTGTTGTTGTGAAGCCTGTCCCATTCTACAGACGAGAAAATTGAAGCTCAAGGAACGGTAAGGAATTTTCCCAAGACCACACAATTAGTATGTGCTGGAGCTGGGGTTTGAATTTAGAGTAGCCTGTTTCCAAAGCACATACTTTACCAGCTGTAGGGATAGATTCAACTCCTGGCCAGGTGGTCAATCAGATGTGCTATGTTGAGAACAATTCTGAGACTGCATTGGAGCTGAATGGGAATGAGTGTAGGCACAGGCGGGGAGATGGCATATGTCATTCCCACTCGGCACATCCACTGATAGACCTGGATATCATTTAGGAAGGGGGCCCCAGCCTGGGAGCTCCTGTAGGGCAGGTGCCACATCTTATTGGTATCTGTCTCCCCAGCTCTTAGCACAGTGCCTGGCCCAAAGTAGGTAGTAAATATGCGTTGAATTACATTGAATCAAGCTGTCTAAAGACTTGCACCCTGAGGATAGGTCCTCTGCACTCTGGATTTGGGCAGCTTCCTTCTGTTTGCCTTAAAAAAGGCAAACTTCTAGTCCTAAATGAGACTTGGGGAGGCTCATATGTCCATATGTTAAGACCTTCTATAGCCTCCACCCTTATTTCAAGGGCAAATTTAAGTGTAAAAGTGATACAAACAAGATGTGTTGATTTTATTTTACTTCAGTCACTACAATGAAACAACAGCCAGTTTATCCAGCCAATTTATCTTCCTCTCCACTATGCCTACTCACTCTTCCTCCACTCCCAATTACAAAGGCAAATGGATGCTATCTTAAGTGTGGGAAGTAAGAAGGACTGATGGGTTAGAGTTTGGAAGTAACATCCTATCTGTGGAACATAGTCAGCCTGGGACCATTGATTCTGTTTCATTTTTCCTTCCTGATTTAAAGAGTAGTGGAAGTCTGGAATGTTTATTGTTCCATGAGAGTCTGGGTAAAAGGAGTATTTGACTTGGTTTCATATGCAAACCCTGCTCATCTACTTAGGTGTGACCCAGGCACAGTGCAGTCTGGAAAACTTGCCCTTCAGAGTGTTGTTCTTTGAAACCCAATCTAGTGTGTATCCCTAGAAGGAGGCATGTGGTTACCATCTTCTTCCTTTAAACTAAAATGGTATTTAGATCCTGCAGCATGAGGAGACGGGCTTAATGAAAGCAAGAAGCTGGAACAGATGACTTCTTCAATCTTCTTTTAGCTTAAAAAATATTATTGGTCACTTCCTCTTAGCCAGGTGCTATGCTAAATGCATTTATGTACATTATCTCACTTAATTCTCATAACAGCTGTAGGGGGGAGGTATCATTACCTTACTGTACAGATAAAATCTTAGACTCCAGAAGGTTAAGTGATTTGCTAAGATTGCATAGTTCCCAAGTGGTTAAACCTCATTTATTCAGTAAATGTTTGTTGAGCCCCTGCTTGTTGCCAGGCACTGGAATAAACTCTAGAAATACTGAAATGAATAAGAAGTAGCCCTGCACTCAAGAGCTCCCAGTCCAAACACAAAGATGGATCTCCAAATGGATTATATTAATCAAATGTAGTAAAGGAGTGATAACTGTATGGAAAGGGCATCACGGGAGCATAGATAGAGGAACTCGACCAGCCTGGTAGTCAGGAGGGTCTTAGATGATGAAAAAGTAAGCACTGAACTGGTGAAGGAGGGTTAAAAAGGGACAGACTGCATCCCAGGCATTGGGAGGGGGCAGCACAAGCAAAAGCATGGAGATGAGAAACAGCAGTAAGTGTGAGATCCACAAATGTGGGGATTGCTGGACTAGTGTAGGTGTGGAGATGGGGCTGGCATGGTAAGCAGGGGCCAGGTCAAGGTTGTCCCTGTAGTTTTGCTTTTCCAATGACCTATACTCTTCCCCTTGAAACTTATGCTCTGTGAAGAAGCCTGTCCCCTGCTGAGAATCCAGAAATGGCCCCAGGGGCTTCCCTGGCGGTCCAGTGGTTAAAACTCCACACTTCCACTGCAGGGGGCACGGGTTCGATCCCTGGTTGGGGAACTAAGATCCTGCGTGCCGCGTGGTGCAGCCAAAATAAATAAATAAATAAATAAATAAAATTAAATTAAAATGGCCCCAAACAGTTACTCTTAGGTGAAAGTTTAAATCAGATAGTCTACTGGGAGGGAGGGTGTTGCTGCAACCCAGAGAATCATTTCTCCTCTAGGAGGCTCCTGGACCATCTCTTAGCAGATCATGTATCTAGCCAGATAAGCAATTGAAGAGCTAGGGACAGAGATTAGAGTCACTGTGTAACAGTGGGTGACTCCTCTGAAGCCCACACCCTCAGTGAATTGTTGCGATGCAGCAGTTAACTTCGACCTCTCCCCTCCCACCCTGGCTTTCTCTCGGTCTCCATCCTCCTACAAACTATCTATACACCTCTGCCCTTTTCCTGTGTTTGTCTTTGCTGTTCCTTCTTTGAGCTTGCATGGGATGCTTGTCATCACTGACATGAACTGAATGTATAAGGCTTGGCCTCCACAACAGCGTTTCCTAACTGAACTGCAGTGCAGTCAAATCAGCGGCATGAATCCTCTGGGACCCAAGATTAAGAGGATGAGATGAAAGCTTCTAAGTGGGAAAAACAACAGCTAGATCAGAGTTTCCCAAAGTGTGGTCTGTGGACCACCTGCATCAGAAGTGTTTCTGTTGAGTGGAGATTAAAGGGTCCCAACCCAGGCCTATCGATTCCAAATACCTTGGAATATAGCCAAGAATTCTGTATTTTTAACAAGCCCACTGGAAGATCCTTTATATATATATGTGTGTGTGTGTGTGTGTGTGTATGCATATATATATGTGTGTGTATATATATATAAAACAATTGCCTAGAACAGGAATCACAAAATGGCAGCCATAGATCAAACTCACTTGCAGATCTATCTTGTTTGGCCCTTACCGTGTTTTAAAAATCAGAACATTTTACTCAAAAATCTAGATTTCTGGCTTCTCTCTATAGAGGCAACCTGGAGCCTATATTCACACAATGATCATCTGAAGCTAGCTACGTAAGGACCATCCTGTTTCACTCACCATGCTGTCAGTCCCCAGAGCCACCAGGGCCTCCCATGGCCTAATATCCTCACCTTTGACTTGGGCTCCTCCAGGACAGGTACCAGGTTTTTGTCATCCATGAATCCTCAGTCTCTAAAACCAAATTTACAGAAGAGAGTGAATAAATGATGTTGACTAAATGAATGGGCACAAGCTTGATGAGAAACTCCTCTTGGTTTGGATAACTTAACTGCAAGCTAAAAAAAGAAAGCCCTGATCTTGGGTGCAGGACACACAAGTTCTCATCCTGGTTCTACTGCTGATATCTTTGGCTATATCACCTCACTTCTCAGAGTCTAAGTTATCTTAACCATAAAAAGAGCTATAAGGATAGATTTGACTCTAAATTCTTCAATCTCGAACAGCATCTCTAAGTTGCGGGTAGTTTCCATTTTAAAACTGTGCGTGGTAGAAGAGGATATTGTGAAACTCAGCCCCAGCCAGCGTCTCTCTCTGAAGCTCCACACTCACAATGCCATCTGTTCACAAGGCAGTTTGGAATCTTAGTCTGACCTGAGGAGGTAGCTGACTCTCTGCATAGTCACAGAATGGTCGGTATTTATGGAGAGAGACTGGGCTAACGCCTTCAGTTATGTACAGATGAAGTCCAAACACCTCAGCACAGTGCAGAAGGCTCTTCATACTCAGCTCCCTGCCAGATATCCCTGTGACGCCCCTCCTTTCACCAGCAGTACTCAGTTACCTAGCTGCCCCCAAACCCATGTTGTTTCTCCCCTCTCTGCCTTTGTATATAGTCTTTTCCTCACCCCATTCAGCCATCTAGTGAATTCTACTTGGCCTTTAACACCCGGTGGAAAGACCCCTCTGGGAAGTTTTCTAGCCACTGCCCCTGAACCCCTTCTCCAGGCCTAACTTCACTCTCTCTCCTCAGTACCTTTAACTTTGCCTTGTACATGTCCCTGTCATTACATCATCACAGTTCTCCTTTATGTGCTAGCTCCCCTACTAGACTGTGATCTCCTTGACAGCAAGGATCTAGGACATGTCTCAGAAGCACAACCAATGCATGTTGAATGGAGGCTCACCAGCCCTAAATCCCATATGCTGGAAGGACTGCACCTCGGCGAAGAGCTGACCATTAGCCCTGGTCTTGCCCACATTCCCCCTCCCCCAACACACACACTTACGCATTTTTAGATGCACAGCTCATGGCTGAGCTTTAGAATGACAGATGATGTTTGCCACGGGTTGATTATCCTGTGTTTCAGCATCAGTGCTGCATAATGTTAATTGTAGGGATTATGTGTAAATAATTACTTTCTGTAGCACTTAGCAATAACGGCATGGCATAGGTAGCATTTCCTAAATTGTTATGAGGAATCCTCTAATCCTCTTTTGGAGAATGTAAATAGACACTGTATTAAAACAGTAATCCTGGGCTTCCCTGGTGGCGCAGTGGTTGAGAGTCCGCCTGCCGATGCAGGGAACGCGGTTCGTGCCCTGGTCCGGGAAGATCCCACATGCCACGGAGCGGCTGGGCCCGTGAGCCATGGCTGCTGAGCCTGCGCGTCCTGTGCTCTGCAAAGGGAGAGGCCACAACAGTGAGAGGCCCTGCGTACTGTTGGGAAAGTCTGAAGACTTTATTAGCATATTAAAGGCTCAGATGTCTGGCGATAAAGAACAAAGTTTAATTTTGTTTCACTCAGTGTTTCCAAAGCTCAGTGTTGAGGAATTACTACTGAATTAGAAGTCAGAAGACTTGAGTTCTCATTTCTCCTCTGCCAATAATGCAAACGTGTGATCTTGAACCAGACACTTCCCCTTTTGGAGCCTCAAATTCCTCATTTGTAAATTGAATGGATTGAAAAAAAAATCTAAAATGACATGTCTGGATTAGATTATTTCTAGCAGCCCTTCTAATCCCCATTTTCTATCCTGCTCAGAAGGGATGAACAACTCTGGTTTTGATACCTTTGCTGGGCTAAAAGGCTTACACGATGAGTACTTAGCTACATGCTTTCAGTTCTGCTCTGCCCCAGCCCCCGGAACAGCTGGGCAGGACCTAGGATGTTCCCTTAATGCAGCTGTTTCCTGTGGAAGGCCAGATCTGATGGGAAATTATCTGGCAATTCTGAGCTGGCTGTACCAACTCCGGGATGACCTTTTTATTTATTTTTTTTCTGGGACAATCTTTAACATTGTAAGAATCAGCCATCCACTTTTCTTCTGCTTTGCAAGGAATTCCCCATTGCAGGAATCATTGCCCCGAATATCCAGAAAACAATAAATTTGATAGTAAAGTGAAACTCTGGGTTAAGGAGGAGCTGGTGGGTAGGAGAGATTTGATAGCAATCATCAACCAGGACCCTAAAAACCCCAAGTACCTGCCAGGAGACCAGATCCCCGAGAATGTAGTGAGGAGAGTAAGGCCCAAAGTTCCCCTGGTCTTGAGAGAAAATATAGCCAAACTGGTTCCATTTAAAAGTACATCTGGCTGGGCTTCCCTGGTGGCGCAGTAGTTAAGAATCCACCTGCCAGTGCAGGGGACATGGGTTCAAGCCCTGGTCCGGGAAGATCCCACATGCCGCGGAGCAACTAAGCCTGTGCACCACAACTACTGAGCCTGTGCTCTAGAGCCCACGAGCCACAACTACTGAGCCCATGTGCCACAACTACTGAAGCCCGTGTGCCTAGGGCCCGTGCTCCGTAACAAAGAGTAGCCCCCACTCGCCACAACTAGAGAAAGCCCACGTGCAGCAGCAAAGACCCAACGCAGCCAAAAATAAATTAATTAAATAAATTTAAAAATAAATAAATAAAAGTACATCTGGCTGAAGTCAGATTTTGGAATCACAGAGTTCATGTGGACAGGGGTCATTGGTATTTCCTGATGATGGAGGCCCTATTAGCGTGACATCATGTTCAGAACAGAAAGTCCGCATTTGCTGCTCTGAAGAGTAGCCCCCAAATGGCCACTGTTTAAGGCTCACATTACACATAAGCAGAATGGTGGTTCCCTCTGGATATCATCTCGGCAAAGTCAGAAATACCATTACTCAGAATAATCTGTAGCCAGGATTTTCTTCTTTCGTAAGGTACCACCACTCCAAGATCGTTTCTTCTTTCCTTTCCTCTGTCCTAAAAAGTTACAGAGCATTCATCCTAGAGTCATATGACAAAACTAAAACAATTTAGTGTGATGCTCTTTATTCCAGGGAAAGCAGTCCATGGACTGGGGAAGTACAGGGCCTCACCAGCAGTGGACTGCTCTTCCCAGGGATTTTGGGCAAGAGCAAGTTTTGCATTAGAAGTGGCAACACGAAACAGGGCATGATTGGCTAGGAGGCCCTATTTTCTAGGGTCAGGTAAACCAGCTAAAGCTGAGCTGGACGACTGAGATTGGTGTTAGGCTTCCTTAGCAGTGAGGTATTTCCCGTAAGTGCTGCTGACTTAGGTTTAGATTTGGCGGTGAGGGGCTGGGGTGGGGGTGGGGCGGGCACTGGGCTGCCTCCATTTTGTGGGTCCCAATAGAGGAATTAACTTTATGGCTGTATTACAGATTTTGCACTGGGCACCATGGTATGTCACGGAGCCCGCGTGGGTGTATGTAGTACAACTCTTATAGGGATTGGGTCCAAAAGTTAATGTCTAAGGCACAAATCAAGTATTATCAGAAATACCCTTGAAAATATTTAAAATCATCCCCAAGGGTGGTGAAATGGTCACACTACGAGAAGCACCAGGACAGCTGAGGGACCTGAGTTTAACTGAGGGATTCTGTCATTCATCCCACACTTCTCCAGGCCATTGACTCAGTGTGTGGAATGGTACTAGTTAAATCACAATGTCTCTCTCAGAGTTTTATTTGTTTTGTTCTGTTTTGGCTGAAATTGAACTTGTGTAAGCTACATATGTGTATGTCACTCATTCCGTGAAATACATAGAAAAATACCTACACTCATCCTGCTAAGTAAGGTTACTCCCCAGGAGAGGACTGGGATTGGGGATGCTAAACAAAAAGAGGGTCAAAGAGGACCTCAGGCTTCTTTATAATGTTTTTATTTTTATTTAACACAGAAAATGCATTCACATTTTTCTTGTGTAACATGAAAAGATCCCTGACTACAAGTTGCTCACTATCAGAGGGAGACAGGCATGAAAATAAACAATAAGATAGATAGTTATAAGTGCTATAATAGCATTTATGGGAGGCCACAGGGGAGGGGAGCAATTAATTTTTCCCTGCTACTTAATCTCATCCCTGTCCTTTTATTCTGTGTTCAAGGAAATACAGTTGCTTGTCTTGCTTCAAGGTGACCTAGATAAGGCTTGGACATTTTTGCTTGTCTTGCTAGGTCCCTCCCCTGCCCCAGGGAAGGGCAGCTCTTATAGTATGTAGGGCTAGGAGAAGCACATAGACATTAGAGGAGGCATCTGCTTGAGTTTTCTAATCTGCCACGTTTTTTTCTGCCATCACAGGGATCTTGCTAAGGGTGAGAGGGGACCTTGGACATTGGACCTCAGTGTGTTGGCCCACTGGTGGGCTCACTCTTGGCAGTGACTTCTCTTCTTCTTTGTCCTTTGTGAGGCAGAATGGACAAGAATTATTATTTCCTTGTTATGGACTTGGAATCAAAGGCACAGGAATCAGAAGCAGAGATGAGAACCCCACACTGGGTTGCTCCCCAGCCCAAGGCCTTGTCCATCTAACCCTTCACGCTCTCACTGACCACTAAAGAAGGCAGTTATAATAAGCTCTGAAAGTAGAACCCTGTGAGAATTAATAAAGGGGAACCTCAATAAAATGGAGTTGGGAGGCCAGAAAGGGGAGCTCTTGTGCATGTTCCACTCGACATCAACACAGATCCTAACAGGAAGAGACGTACCTTGCATCTCAGGCAGGAAGTTACACTACTTTAGTACCACCATTAGGAGGAAGATTTTCCCCTTGCATGGCAACAAGTCAGCCAATGAAAAGCCACTATACTTAGAACACCAAGTTTCTTCCAATGGGCTTTTTGTTTTTAATAGTCCCTCTCAACTTCCCTTCTCCTCTATAAAAGAGTTTCCTCTCCTTCGCTTTACAAGACTTACATGTGGTTCACCATAGTTGCATTTCCCAAATTGCAATTCTTTGCTGTTCCTGAATAAACTTGTTTTGCTGGTAAAATAACCAGCAGTTTTATTGTTTTAGGTTAACACCTAGAATCCATAGCAACAGAACCATAGGAAGTCCATTGGATATATGTTCAGAGTACTTTCCTGACACAGGCTACATAGCGTGAGCTCTGTTCCAGACCTAGTGGGAAAACTCTACAACTCTTTTCCTGGGAATGAGGTCCTTCTCAAGTTGTGCTTAGTATACTAAGAATTGCAGACCTGCCACAACTAGGACCTGATGCAATCAAATAAATAAATACATATATATTAAAAAAAATTTTGCAGGCCCTAGACTGAGATGGAATTCACCACATTTTATCTGTGAGATCCTGAACAGATTACTTGACCACCCTGAACCTCAGCTCTCTACCTGTAATATGGGAAAAAACACCACCCTCCTCACTGGATAACTGTGAGGAATGAATAGAAGTCAGATGCCTGGCCCAAGGCAGGCATTCAGCATATTCCCACTCAATCTTTGGATCTTTCCTACAGGGGGTATTGGCTGCACAAACACATGGTAGGACTTGCCTGGTTTGGTGAGTTAGCTTGGTGTGAAAAATCAAACCTACAAGGTATTCGAAACATTAATGTCTGCACCCATGGAGAGGATCTTCGTTCAAAAGTGCCTCTTTTCAGACTAACTTGGGCCTGAAAGAATAGAGAAAGAAAGAAAGAAGGAAAGAAGGAAAGAAAGAAGGAAGGGAGGAAGGGAAAGAAAGAAAGAAGGAAACTTTGAATGCGTCATTTTTATTGCTTCTTTTTTTTCCACACACAGAGAAATTGAGATCAGTTGGCCAGGGCTGTGGACATCCTGAACTCATCTTATCTCTTTATACATTTCAAGAAGCGATAAAATGCTTTTATCAGTGTTCGATGTTGGTAATGACTGCATTGTGTGGTTTTCCAAAGACTTTCTCTTGGATGAAGGCATTTGATGATGGAGGACATTGGCCATTAAAGTTTTTAGGCTTCTGTCTCAGCAATAAAATAAGATGAGGATGTATGGCAGCATTTATACATGGTTTTCCTCTAGGATTAATTCTAGAGCTCACTGTCCCCAAAGATCTTTACTTTTAAATTAGCTGAAACACTTTGGTTGCCATAACAGAATTCATTTAAAGTTGGCTGAAGGGAAAAGTGAGAAATATATATTAAAAATGATTAAAGAAGACAATTTAGGTGATACAAACAAACCTTATTTAACACTTCATGAAGCAGGCAGCCTCCATTCCCAAGGGTCCAGAGAACTGCAAAACGGGGCAGAAGGCAGATAACTTTCATAGGATAAAGAACAAAGAAGAGAAAAATAGAAAATATCTGATGAACTGGGGCCACACA